TTTTTAGATATAATACAATTTACAAATTTTATGTTCTCAAATGAGAACATAATTTTCAAAAATTGTGTTCTCAAAAACATTTTAATGTTCTTGAGAACACTGAGAACATTAGATCTCTAACACTGCATACCATGCGCATGTATGGTATAGAAAACACTATTTTAAAACTCCAAATTCATGAGCATCAAAGTGACATAAACATTGAAATGCCACTATAGATATGTACCAAATGAGTACATCAACAACCGCCCTAGCATTTCAAAATCAAATGTGACGTAAAGGAACGAAAAAATCGTTCGTACCTCAAAATTTTGCCTAAGAAATTGTCTTCTGACTACTAACAAAGGTTTATTGATAATTACGGTATCAAAAAGGTCTCACCAAATCTAATGAATAGCAGCAATTTTTTTTGTTGTTTTTTTTTAGCAAAGTTTTTAAAGTTCGTAGAAACTAGAGTCTTGATTCTCAGAAAATGTGCGCCACCAAAAAATGGTTCGGAGTTTCCTGACATAAATGATCATTAATTTTTATTTTTTTTAGCAACTATTAGATCTTTTATGATAAACAGTTTATTAATAATATTGTCTATTTTTTAAATTCTTTAAATTTCGTGTTAAATAAAACCCTATTCTAAATCTGTAATCTCTTATAATATTAACAAAATGGTATTGCACAAATTAATTCTAAGAACGGATAATGAAGGATCAGATATTAATAGCTTTAATTATAGCAATTTAATACAACGCTATTATTATCACAATAATATTCAATAACTACATAGCGTACAGGCACGTTTAAAAAAAATATATCTGTCATATTCAGATACTGCAAATTATTATTTCTGACAGCCTTGCTGCCTTAAGATAGAGGTTTCAAACGTTTATTTGTATGAATCTTATTGAAGATAAACTATAATTAGTGAAGGCTTGAGTGTTTAGAAATTGCTGCTTCACATTAGTATAAGAGTAATGGATCGTACGTACGTACTTGGTTTTTTTTTTGTCTCTTTGGTAACATTTGCCCACTTAGACAACAAAAATAAGCAACGTTTTAATTAAATCCAGACCTTAATATTAAGATCCGGCAGAGGTATTAACTCTCGTTACGTATATTAAGGAAAATATTAAGAAATTAGGATAGGAATTAAAAAGGAAAGTTTATAAACAGGTTACATAATTTAATAATGCTCTGTGGTAGTAATACGATGGATAATCGGCTTAATTGAAGTATGGATTTTTAACTTGTCTCTATCGATATAGGGTAACAAATTTCATCCGCTGAGCGACCAATCAGAGAACAATTATATGACTGGATGTTTTATTTATAAAATGTTATTATATAATATGGGTGCAAGTGAAATTTGATTTTTAGTTAATAATATAAAAAATTAATAATTATATATATAGTTAATATTATTAACAACTATATAAAGTTATTAATATTATTAACAACTATATACGTATATAGTTATTAAAATTATTAACCATTACTAACTACATAGTTATAGTTTAACCATTAATAATTTGACATTGTTAATAATCCTATGTGATCATGCAATTACTGTATATAAAAATTTAAAAGTTGATTTTCATAAAATTAATTCAAGAGGGCCCCATCACTGGATGTGCCGTATTAAACTTCAGTCACTTGTCAATTACGTAAGAAATGAAATTTGCCAATTTACCCAATATAGACATGGTGTAAAGAATAAGGTAGCATGTACAGCAACTTACGTAACATGTTGTAATTCTTGTTGTGAACTATTATTTATGCAGTAACTAGTGCGTACGTACTCGGTATGTAAGTACGTACGTACTTCAAAGATTTTCTTACTATTATATGTTTGCTTGAAAACAGGAACATCTTTCTAGATCAGATTATCAGTAAAACTACTCTTTGAGATGATATATTTTTTGGTATTTTGTTAATTTTTTAGAAATAGAACTTTGAGCAACAACAGGAGTTTTGTGAATAAATTGTTGAGAAGAATTGATCCATATAAAAAAAATTTATTTATATATTAAATTTTACAGTTAATTAAGCTATGACATCAATTAATTAGTTACGGCTAATTACGAAATTGAATGATACTGATTTTTTAATTACGGGACGGTGGGCTATGCGATTTTGCCTAACTGTTAATATATGCCGCAAAATCCATTGGGATGATTCTCTAGTCATAATGTTAATCAAGCATATTCCGTTTTATGAACATAGCGAATATATCATATAACGGAACTTTTAAGCCAGATTTTCTTGATTTCGATAGTACAATGCAGCATTATTAATTGCAATATTTAATAGGACTAAACTCTGCTGTACTGTACTGTACGTACGTACGATCTATATTTTTTTAAGAGCTTCGGAAAATTCCGGGTCGGACAAATTATGAGTGGTAACACATCTTACGTACTGCAGACGAAAAAAATCCAACTTACTATAAATGGCACAGTTTTTGGACACGCCACAATACCTAATTATTTGATTAATTAACTATATTGGTGATCATCATATTTCCAGTAAACAATAAATAAAAATAATAATAATAATAGTGTTAAATTTTCAAACTTCTCTTTTTCTTTATTTCTTTATTGAAAACTCAAAAATTCGAAACCATTTTTCAATAGCAAAAACAAGAAAGAATAATGATGCAATTGCAATACGACAATGTTATGTTTTCAGAGATTGCAGGATTTGTATCTATAGCATGCTGGATGGTGGTCGGATTTCCGTAAGTCAATCGTGTAGAAATATCGTCGAAATTAAAAGAAATTTATTAATAATTTTTTATTTTTTTATTTATTTTAAATCAGACAACTTCATGAAAACTATAAGCGAAAGTCGGGTGATTCAGTAGCACCATCTTTCATTATCATATGGTTAATTGGTGACTTATTTAATTTGATCGGCGCTATTTTACAAAATTTAATATTAACAGTGGTAAGTATTGTTAATTGTACAAAATTTCATCAAATGGTTAAGAAATTCTTTTGTATTAATGTGAATCACTATTATTATAGGTTCTTATTGCACTATATCATAACGCAATCGATTTTGCAATCATATTACAAATCTTTTATTATCGTCTCCGTAAAAATAGAAATCCTGACTGGGATGAAGAAGTAACTCCTTTACAACCACAACCAGCGCGCAACGAATCACGAACTTCCGTATATCGATCAAGGGTCAGAGAATTTTTGGAAATTTTGGCTGGGCTCGTTGGAGTTTGCGTAGGTGGCGTTATTATGTATTATATCTCTACTCTATTTCGGGATGATGAAGAGAGTGAAAAGGACGATCAATTGGAATTGGAATTGCTACCTCAAATTTTTGGATGGGGTAGCGCTTTGCTTTATCGTAAGTTAAATTGTAGATGTGAGAATAATACTTGTACTTTATGTCTAATTTATATTATTTAATTGGCATTAATATTAGTTAGCGCAAGAATTCCTCAAATTATTCGAAATCATAAGTCACAATCTACTGAAGGATTATCACTGGCCATGTTCTGTTTTTCTGTTTTGGGTAATGTTACATTTTGTTCGGTATGTATTAAAGATAACAATTTTTAGGATGGTTTGAGATATTTGTAATTAACGAATTTATATCTGATATATATATATATATATATTACAGTCAATAATACTTTATTCGACAAAATATAAGTATTTACTTGTAAACCTTCCTTGGTTGATAGGAAATGGTGCAACATTACTATTTGATTTTTCGGTAAGCTTTAAGGTTTCATATACGTTCTAAAGTTTAATAGTTATAGTATTTTGACTAATATTCGTAAATATTTAATCTATGTATATGATTTTTTTTCAAAAAAAGATCTTAGCTCAGTTTTATTTTTACAGAAACAATAATAAGTCCCAAGCTTAATTTAAATAGATCCTTTTGTTTGTAATTCTAGAAGTTCATTAGTACAATGTATCAATCTAAAATATTATGAATAAAAATTCTTTATTTCGTATTGTGATGTGTCAATGATTATCACGAATAAAATAAATATACATGAACTCGATCAGTATAATTTTTTTTCGAATGTGAAATACATAATACAACATAGCAATTCGTATTTTGTGAAACTCATTTATCAATAAAAGGGAAATACATGAAAATCACAGGTTTCGTGAGAATCTAAAAAAAAAATTATGCTGATCGTCGATCCAACTAAATCGAAAAGAGATAACGATAACGATAAAACCTAGATTAATAAATATCACAATCTAAATGAAATTAAAGTAAAAAAAAAAAAAAATTAATTTTATTAGCTTAAACAAGTAATGTTATTTTGTGTGTAAATATGTTTAAAAGTTATTCTATTTGGATTTATAACGATTATGTATGTTGGGTCAACGATCAAAAGACACGCCACGTGCTCCAACCCTGCTCCGATTACAAACGACCGGGGATCGATCTCATAGGCAGACATTCGTATGATTGGCAGTTTAAATCAATTTAATTTTACATTATTTATACAGTTTAAAGTAC